ACCTGGGGGAGTCCCCATCAGACAGAAGGGGAAGTAGGAAGAAGCCCTCAAGTCGGAGGACAAAAAAGGGGGTGTGGTGTAAGGGAGCCTGGGTAATTCAGGCTCGGAGCCAACTCCCCGAGGCATAGCCAAGGGAGGCTGCAAGTCTGGGAGAAGATGCCTCATCCACCATACACAGGAGCAGACAGTAGGAAAGGACAATGTCCAGAGACATAGGCGCAAGGGTGTTCTCAGACCTGGTGTCCTGGGCTTCAGGTACCCCCAAATGCCCAGGGAAGATGCAGAGGTGCCAAGATGATCAGTGGGCCAGCAGAGCCCTGATGTCAGGGTGAAAAGGCCACAAAGTAGGATTTGTACCAAGAGCCAAATGCTCAAGGGTATGGGCTTCAGAAGCAGGTACCAGCACTGCATGCTGGAAAGTCAGAGATAACCAGACACCTCTCAGTGGGCACTGCCAGGGCCAGGAACTCTGAGGGTAGACAGACTCACCACCTCCCAATAGGGACCAAGATGGACTCATGACAGTCCTCTCTCTTGGCTGCCAAGAGGTCACATAAGCTCCATTTCCACTTTCTAAGCCCACCCTCCTCACACACACATACACCATACTCAGATTCTGTCCCAGAAAAGAGCACGGAGAGCGGGGGAAATAGGAAAAGTTGAAAATTTATTCCAAAGATACTCTAAATTATTCAAAAGATACTATAGAAATAGGAAGATACTGAAATTTTGTCCCTTGATAAATATAAGTCCTGACCGCTTCTCCCACAATGCATAAAATGCCTGTTGAGTGGGCGGATGGATGGATGGATGGATGCGTGTGTAGATGGATGTTTTTGGACTCTAGAGTAGTAATAACAATAATAATAGTAAAGGTTCTTTGAGCGCTTATTAGAGGAACTTCAATTTAGCTAAAGAAAATAAAGAAGCTAATTTTCTTTCCTAGTAATGCAGGTAATGTTTTACCTTTCCATGATTTTAACTGGTTAATACCACATAGTGTTTATGAAATCATAACAGTTGTCCCCAAATATTAATGTTCAGACCCAACATCCCCCCCTACTCCTGCCATTCAATAGGTCTGGGGAATTTATGTTTTAAAAAAAGCATCTCAAGTGAATCTGATGCCAGAGGCTTCCTGAGCCACATTTAGAGAAATACTGAACTAGGGGAGAACAGGAAGTACATAACCAGCACAACCACCCACCCCAGGGCCCCAGGAAGAGGGCGTCTCACAGGGAGGATGGGGCATGGACGTGTGAGTGTTCAGAATCTTTGAAAGACTTTTTTGATCATACCAGGTGATACTAAATATGGGAAATATTTCTCCAAAACAACGTTGCCTTTGGTGCTTAGTAAAATCATGACTCCAGTCGGGCTGCGTGGGGGTAGAGATGTTCAGGTGCTTTGTAGGGTCTTTTCACTCCAGACGCGCCAGTCCTTTGCCCAAACCTGAGTTATATCTCTGACCTCAGTCTGCTGGTAATACTTATTTATGTGTCCATCTCCCCCACTCCACTGGGAACAGGCACAGTAATTCCTCAAGGGCAGAATGAAGTCTCGTTCATCCTTATGTCTGCCTCCTTCTACCAGAAAGTAACACAGTAGCTCAAAAAATATTTATCAAGTGAATGGCTGAACAAATGAATAGACAAATGAATATTATTAACTCCAGAGCGGTGATAACAATAATAATAGTAGATGTTCTTCAGATGTGTATTAAGCCCAGGGATTGAGGAAGACTGCAC